TGTGTGTGTGTGTGTGCGTGCGCACGTGTGCGCGTGCACAGAGCAGAGAGAACTTGCCTGATTGCACTCCCCCCTCCCCCTCCCCACGCCACACCTTCCCCCGACTGCCAAACAGAGGAGGAAAGTGCGCGCACGAAATTACATTAGCATTGTGCATGAGAAAAAGAACATCGACGATGGAGTTATATGCCCTTGTGACTTTGTTTGCTTAATTAACTTGGTGTTATGTAAGTTTTGTATTCAGTTTGTGCCCTCCAAGACCCGACGAAACTGTAAGGCTTCTGGTAATTATGTAATTGGAGACGTTCTATGCCCCCAAGGACACATTTTAGATCATTAAGAAGGAAGATTTCTTCAACTCTGCTTTTGGCCAACCGGGGCAAAAATGGATACAGCTTCCCAAAAAGGCAGACGGAGATGCTCAACAAAAACCTCCACACGCGGGAGCAGAACTCAAGTTTAATGCGTGCGATAGCGAGGCGTCTAACTGCTACACTTCTAGCGTCAATGGGCTTCTGGTTCGAGTATAAATGAGGAAAGAGTTGAAGAATGTGGACAATGATGCAACACATAGGGGATCAACATGGGTATGGTTATTGTATAAATTGAAATTCATTTGTTTAATGTTGCCATGTTACATGTATTATATAAAAGATACTTTAGTTATTTTTCTGCCCTCAAAGATACTTACTGAAACTTCATCAAGCTCTAGTCAGATTTTTAGGGAACGGAGAAGTCAGTGTTTTCAAGCCTATTGATCAATTTTTAAAAATAGAAATTTTGTTTTAACGCAGAAACTTTTTCCACTCATTAAATGACGCGTTTTAGGATGAGTTTGTACTAGAAAATGGTGTTTGATTCCCAAAATTATTTTGTAGAACGGGTAAGAGTTCTCAAAGTTTGGAGGTCGTTTTTTCACCAATTTCACACCTAACAGCATATATCTCGACTTCTGTGCAAGACAGATCGTTTTTTTTCAAGTTCAAGAAAAGGCTCCAGTTTGACAGCAGTAACTACATTATATGATCAAATCTTATTACTGACTATCGCCTGATTACACCGTGATGCAATTTATGGCCTACCACCCATCACGCGCGATCCTCTCGGAGATTGGTTAAAACAGGAAAAGTTATCTTTTACGCACCGCACCGAAAGAGGGGTTAAACAATAAACAGTGGCCAACTGTTGACAGTCTGAATATAATAGTTGACCTTCGTGTTGAATGCTTGCGTGCGTGCGTGAGTGTGCGTATATGTGTATGTGAGTGTTTGCGATTGTGTGTGTGTTTTTGTGTGTGTGTGTTTGTGTGTGTGTTTGTGTGTGTGTTTGTGTGTGTGTGTGTGTGGGTGTCTGTATGAGAGGTCTGTGTGTGCTTGTATGTGTTTGTTAGTGCTTGTGCATATTCACATATGTGGGTGTTTGGAAGTATGTATGTGTGTTTATTTGAGTATTAGTGTAAGTGTATGTATGTGTCTTTGTGCGTGCGCGCGCGCGTGTGTGCGTGTGCGTGTGCGTGTGCGTGTGTGTTTTTTGTGTGTGTCTGTGTGTATATGCGTGCCTGTTGGTGTTTATGTATGTATGAACGTATGTTTAGATGTCTGAAAGTGACTTAAATGCACTTCAATATTTTCTTTGTATACTTATGGTGTTTTTTTTCTTGCTTCCCGATTTTATAATCCCCCCCCCCCTCCCCCCAACCTACATCTAGGTCCCGACAACAAAACAACTGTGAAACTATGCCATTATCAGGAACAATTACTTTTTGAAAGAATTGATCAGATTTTTGATTGGTCAAGAATAAACAACCAAGAACATCAAAAACTGCGCTTACACGTTTCTCCAACCTGTCTTTTCTTTGCCTTAATATGCATGATGCCAAAACTTCGGTTAGACAAGACATTTACGATAAGTTGGCATTGGGAAGAGAGATAATGCCCCCCCCCCCAACCCCGGATAGAGAGCCAAATTGCTCAGAGAAAATTTTGATTGTCTCAAATCCTGTGCGGTTTTTCAGAGCCCTAAACAAATATCCCACACATAATAACCCCCTAGTGTGAGATTTTGGACGATGTGAGAACCACATTCACATTCTAATGGCGGGCAGGAGAGCCAAACTGGCGACTCGAATTCTCTGAACAAAGGATCCACTATTGACAGTTTTCAAAGACAGCAAAAGAAGTTCTCTGAAAGCGATTCGAGAAGGAAATGAATGTTAAGTCAATAGGAAAAAAATTCTACACCGCAACGATTGAAAAAAATGCGTTGTAGAAAGTTAATCAAGGAGCTGAAACGACCGACAGAACCTAAGGACAACCGCCACAGCCACAATTACATACCAGACACGTTTGCCACAATGACTACCACAATCGTTGCGATGGATTTGAATGCTCCCTCTTATCCTCTCAATTCTCCCCTTTACCTCTACCATTTCCTACTTCCCCTTTTCTAGCTCTGTCCCACTCACTCTCTCACTTCGCCCCCCCCTCTCTCTCTCTCTTCCCTTTCTCTCTCCCTCTCTGTGTTTTTCTGTCTATCTCCATCTTCTTTTGTCTTCCTTTTTTTATACAACACTTAAAACATGGAAAAAGACTTTATTCATCAATTCAATCAAGACTTTGGATGGAAGTATCTGATTTGGCAGAAAACCGATTCTTCTGTTCTCCGTGAACACATAATTTCTTGTTATTGTTGTTGTTGTTGTTGTTGTTGTTGTTGTTGTTGTTGTTGTTGTTGTTGTT